TCTATCTCCTTATGGCGATTAGTTTCATGATTAGTTCCCCCTTGCTCATGGAATTGGTGCAATCTCCGTGTTTAGAGCTTCTGCCCAAAAATTCTTTGCGCTAGAGATTGACATAGTTTTCTAGTCATATCCTTCAGTGTTCTTTTCTTCCGTTCTACCACCCCATTTTGTTGAGGCGTTCTAAGAGCAGCGAAGTTGTGGTCTATCCCTTGTTCTTGGCAGAATGTATCAAGGAGCTTAATGTCAAATTCGGTCCCATGATCCGAACGAGTCTTAATTAATTGCTGCCCTGTTTGATGCTTAACTTTTCTTACAAAAAATAACAAACTCATTAAAAGTATCTTTCTTACTATCAAGAAAGATAGTCCAAGTATGTCTTGAGAAATCATCAACAATTATAAGCACATACTCTTTATTCAAAATAACATTGTTACCTTTGTCACAGAATTGAAAGATACTTAGCAAATTGAACTTAAAACCTTAAAAAAATCAATTGAATGGTTGGGTGATTTTCCGGTTTTTCCCACGGCTACAATTTCTCCTTTGCCTTTGTCTCCAAATATCACCTTCCCACCACTAAATGGCCGAAGTGAGAGGAATAAAGATGAGTCTCCAGTCCTGTGCTTAGAACAACCACTGTCAAGGAACCAGTGATTGTTCCCCCTCACTTGGCGCTGTTCTTGAATCACGGGTTAGTCCGTGGAACCCAGACTTGCTTGGGTTCCATTTTGTATTTGTTTGAGGATGGATATCGAACATAGTCAAAACATCTTTCTAAGGTCTTTTGTCGAGAGTGACATTGATACCGAAGATGCCCGATTTTGCCACAATGCATGCAAACTCGGTTGTCATAGGTATCAACGTATTTAGGTTTCCACCATAAAAGCCTCTTGTTTTCTTATGAAAAGTTCGGTTTGGCGTTTGTCCATAACCGTTTTTGTGCCTCTGAACCAGTCTATCGAACCAGTTTAGTCCAGTTCTAGGTGGTTGTTGATATGGTCTAGAACTGGGTTGTCCTCTGGTTCTATTTCCATTAAAGGATCGGTTCTGAAAATCAGGTTTTTTATTAGGTTGAGTGTTCCTTGGAATATAACCGAGACCAGCAGTCTCGTTTTCCTTCTTATTGTGCCGAGGGGGACCAGTTCCAGAATAAGGTCTAGACCTGGTTTTGTTCGTAGCACTATATGCTTGGTATTCCGGTCTATTTTTAAAATCTGTACACTCGGCAACAAGACGATGAAGATGATCAATCAAAGTACCAACGCTCGGAATTTTTGAGAGAAGTTTTTCATCATGATTAACTTGTTTGTTCATACTATCGAGCTTAAGAGAGCAAATGATTTGATCTTGTTCTAAAACCACTTCACTGTACTTAAGCCTTTCATCTATTAACTCTCCCACTTTTGTTTCAAGCCTTATCTTGGCTCTCGTGGCTTCCTCGAGTTTAGACTCAAGCTCAGTGATTTGTGATTTAAGATGATCATTTTCAGAAAGGTTTTGATTAAGCTCAATAGTCAATCTTTTGAAAATTTTCCGGGCTTTGGTTTTGGATAGAGAGTCAAACTTAGATAGAAAATTTTCAAAGTTTACTTCGAAGCTCTCTTGGTCGGATTCCTCGTCGGAGTGTGCCATAAGACATAGACCTGTATGGTTAGAGTTCTTATCACTCTCCTCTTCTTCGTCATCGGATGAGTCTCCCCATGCTGCCATCATTGCCCTTTTGAGATCTCTTTTGAACCCTTTGTCTTTGCTGGACCTCCGGTTAGAACTGGACTTGTTCTTGTCGTAGGTCTGGTCATTTTTCTTTTGTGAACAGTCTTTAGCCCTGTGCTCAAGGGAACCACAAACAAAACAGCCTTGGTTATTAAAAGATTGAAAGTTATTTTTACCTTGTTTGTTCCGGTTGTTCTTGAACCGTCGGTACATCTTCCCGAATTGTCTAGCAAATATGCTCATCTCATCTTCCGATTCACTTTCGGATTCTTCCTCCTCTTCTCGAGCTTTTAGAGCAATTCCTCTCTCTCGCCTTACAGTCTCAGCGTCTTGCTCTTCTTGAAGCCCTAACTCATATGTCAAGAGTGAACCGGTCAAGTCTTCAAGAGTCATGGTGGATAGGTCCTTTGCTTCCTCAATAGCCGTGGTCTTAGGCTTCCATACCGAGGGCAAGCTTCTCAAAATTTTTCTCACTTGATCTTCCACAGTAATTTCCTTTCCAAGGGCTGAAAGCTCATTGATGATATTAGTAAAACGTGTAATCATATCCTTAATTGACTCTCCAGGCTTCATTACGAATAATTCGTAATTACGCATAAATATGTCAATTTTAGATTTTTTTACACGTGAGGTACCTTCATGAGTAACCTCGAGCAAATCCCACATTTGTTTGGCAGACTTGCATCCTAGAACCCGGTTGTGTTCGGCAGGACCAAGTCCACAAATCAAATATTTTAGTGCTTGGGCATTATGCTCGAGTTTTTGATAATCATCAGTAGTAAATTCAGATTTAGGTTTGGGAACAACATTACCTTCGCCGTTTAGCTTTGTGATGACATTGTCGCCACCTTCTATCACATTCCATACCTGATAATTATCGGCTTTGATAAAGTTCTCCATCCGACTCTTCCAGAACTGATAGTATTTCCCATTGAACAATGGTGGTCGTTGAGTCGAGTAACCTTCTTCCAATCGGTCAACCGTATTCATTTTGCCGGATCTCTTCCCAAGGTATTAACCTCTATGTGGTGAAGACCGGCTCTGATACCAATTGATGAAAACGGTTAGCAACACAAGAGGGGGGGTGAATTGTGTGTGTGGAACCGTGGCAGTTTTTCGCCCAGTTCTAGTGCGGGGTGAAGGGTATTGCGAAATAGTAAAGTGCACAAGGATTTAACGAGGAAAAATCCCTTGGCTCAAAGGGATTAAAAAACCTCGACCTCCCTCGGAGGAATTTTAACAACTTCACTAAAAAGCCTTTGAATGATTACAAGGGAAACTCTCCTAGTCTACCCTTGAGCCACCCCAACTCTATCCTCTCTAGGAAGAGTTACGCTTCTCTACCTTGCGGGTAGAGAGCCTCTCAGCTTTACAACAAAGCTCTCACAACACACGTTACCCAACCCGAGGAAGCTACACTTAGCTAATCCTCAATAACCCAATTACAATATAGGAAGAGAATAAGAACTCTGTCTAGAACTCCGGGAGCAGTTTCAGGTGCCTTGAACTTTGTATTTCTCTCGAGTATCTCTCTTGATATTTTCTCGGTCAAGCACACCCTGCTTCTTCTTCTTGATCTCGATTATATAGTCTACTAGGAATGGATCCGTTGAGACACTTCTTTCCTTGAATGGTTGAGGAACTTGCCTTGAAATTATTCAAAATGCTTTCCTTTTATTTAAGGATCTTCTAGCTCTTAATTATGATGGTCCTTGGTCAACCATATATATGGGAGCAGGAGGATACGTGCATACCATGAGCAAGTCAAAAAGGTATAGAGCATATTATGTGATCAACCATTTAGTAATAATTCCACAAAGATATATATCAATACATATCAAGGGAAGTTATTTATTCACTTAAACTATGCAAGCATGCAACGGATCATATTTCAAATAATATGCAGGAGAATATTTGTTAAATAGGTATGCACAATCAACTAGCTAATCAATTAAGGATTCTTTCCATAAAATAATAAGCTATAATAATAAATCATGCATGAAAATATATTTTTGCTTAAAATAATATTCTTGACAAAGTATAAGCACTCATATAAGGAAAACACATATTAATTAAATCATACACCATGTAAATCAACCGTTCACACAGAATACAATTAAGAATAATTTTTTCTTCCGTTCTGTATGGAACTGAGAGCGGTTCCGTCCGCTGTTCCACCTGCATAGTTAGTCATTAATAAAACTACATACTCAACAGATTCTTTCCTTTGAGATCGGTCTTCTTAGATGGGCAAGATCAGGACTTGATGTACTATCTTTAATAGCTCGGATCTCCATATATATTTCGGTCCTCTTGGATGGAAATCATTCAAAAATATTTCCTTATAGGTATTAAAAGATATTCTTTTTATTTGATTGAAGGAAATCATTTTTCTTAAGGAAACATTCCTTGTGAGAAGATATGCACGAAAATCCTTTTTGAATTTTGAATAACAACAATTATTTTGGAAACTTGCTTTGTAGAAATATCTCTTAATTAATGCCTTTGATTTAAATAACTTTCCTTTAAAGAAAAAATCCTTTCTTTGTATGATCATTGATTATTTTCTTGCTTAAAAGGTTCTCTTTAATTTAGCAAGATAGATCCGAAATTAAATGGAGAGAAAAGATATTTTAAGCAAGCCGGATTAATCAATCTTGGATTTACGGTGCAGTTCTCGGACCAGTTCTACGGCTTGTTCCAGAGCACGACTTAAACTCTTTTCATGTAGTCACTTACAACCAAAAGTAACACTAGTCGTTTGTCATCAACAAAACAATGCGTTCCAACAGCTGGGATAATGAGTTGCCCTATATGCATGGAGAATACAAGTGCCTTTTATCTAAAGTATAGTAGAAAGCCATGTCACTTTGACTGTCATAGGAAGTTCTTGCCTCTTAATCACTCTTACCGAAGGGATAAAATGTCTTTTTTAAAAGACAAGATAGAGAGAAGTGCACCACCACCTCGTCTGAATGGAAGAGAGCTTTGGGCGCGTGTCAGATCCATTCCATCGGCAATAGAAGAGCCCAATGAAAAACCAAGTGGGTATGGAGTAGAGCATAAATGGACTAAACAAAGCATTTTTTGGGAGCTTCCATATTGGAAAAACCTACTTATTAGGCACAACTTGGATTTGATGCATACTGAGAAGAACGTTTTTGATAATATTTTTAATACTGTGATGGGTGTAAAGGGTAAAACAAAAGATGGTTTGGTGTCAAGAAAAGATGTTGCTTTGTATTGTAGTCGTCCTAGCATTGAGGTTCAAAGTGATTCTGTGGGGCCTATAAACAAAGCTGTGTACACAGTTACCCATACGCAAGCCCAATGCATTCTGGAATGGATTACGTCCCTACAATTTCCAGATGGATACATGTCAAACTTAAAAAGATGTGTGAACTTTGACGAGTCACGCTTAATGCATATGAAGAGTCATGATTGTCACGTGTTCATGCAAAGGCTGATACCTATAGCATTCAGAGAGATGCTTCCGCCTCATGTTTGGGGCTGCCTTACTGAGATTAGCATGTTATTCCAGACACTGTGTTCAGTTGTTCTTGACACCAAAGCTATACAAGATCTTGAAAGGACTGTACCTATACTTATGTGTAATATGGAAAAGATTTTTCCTCCTGCATTTTTTGATCATATGGAACACCTCATTATTCACTTGCCATATGAAGCCAAGGTTGCTGGTACAGCACAATACAGATGGATGTACGTTTTTGAAAGGTATTTATTAAAATTTATTTATAAGATTATATATATATATATATATATTCAAACTTTTTGTGCAAACTAACGTATTTAATGTGTATTTTGTATTGTAGATTCCTTCGAGAGTTGAAGAAAAAAGTGAAAAATAAAGCGCACGTCGAAGCATCTATTTGTCAGGCATATATAACGGAGGAGATTTCCACATTTGCATCATACTACTTTGAGAGTCACGTAAGATGCAAACGGCGGCGTGTTGGGCGAAATGACGACAACGGAGGTGCAACGTCAAGGGGAGCTTTTTCAATTTTTAACTATCCTGGTCGAGGATCTGGAAAAGAGCATCATCGGTTTGTCGTTGGGGAGGAGTTACAAATCGCTCAAACATATGTATTAGTGAACTGCCCTGAAGTAGATCCATATTTAAGGTAAAAAAACAATCATAATAACTCTTTTATTTTCCTTTTAATATTTTATACTTCAAGAGGTCTAAGTTGTAATATCATGAACATGCAATTTATTGAAAACTTTCAAGGTCAAGATGAGAGTGAACTCGATAAATTGATATCTTCTCAATTCGCACAATGGTTCAAAGATTTTGTAAGTTGACGGACCTATTTTGATACATTGTTCCTTGGTTGTCATTTGATAATGAAATATACATATATTTTGTTTTAGGTACATTCTCCTGTTAATGGTATTAGTGATCCACTTTTATCTTCTCTGGCTTGGGGCCCAAAATCTCGTGCAACTACTTGGCCTATGTATTTCATTAATGGGTATAATTATCATACTGTTGAAAGGGGATTGAATAAAGCAACATACAATAGTGGTGTGTGTGTTCGCTCTTCCAATTACGCCAATTCTGATACCGATTGGTATGGCTCTCTTGAGGATATTATCCAGCTTGACTATCCTGGCCCACTTGGATTACATGTTGTCTTATTTAAATGTTCATGGATTGATCCTATCAGGGGGGTAAGAAAACATCACAAGTACAACATTGTAGATGTTAATTTTAAGTACAAGTACAAAGTGAATGAGCCATTTATTCTAGCCCAACAAGCCGCACAAGTTTACTATGCAAGCTATCCATCTATGAGAAAAGGAAGTGATTGGTTGTGCGCATGCAAGACAAGTGCAAAAAGGACACTGATCGAAAATGTAAAAGAAGATGAATTTGCATATCAGCCTAATGAACCAGATGCAGTGCCCCAAATCGAGCCGATTGAGACTATGCCTCCTTTACGTGATCCCAGTGGCATTGAGTTACATGTTGATCCTGAGGATGCCATTGAGCCAACTAACGCGGGTCAAGAAGATTCCGATCGGGATGAAGGTAATGGTTCTGATGAAAGTGAAGATGTGGAAGTTGAAGTTGAAGATGAAGGATTTTATTAGTTGTTTTTCACTATAAATTTGGAGTAGCTATTCTATATATATATATATATGTTTGTTATTCTTTCACGCTTGAAATTATGAAAGCCATACTCCATTTAGTTCGCCTTCTATTTATAGTTGTTAATCAGATGCTGAGTTTATTTTATAATCTGACTCAAATTAATAAATAAATACTTAGATTTTTCTTTTAAATTATTTCAGTCCCAACCACAATCACACCGAATTACACTTGAATGTTTTGATTTGAATGTACTTCAGGTCTAGACTAGTTAAACAGATCATTTAACTAAATTTTAATGGATTAAACAAGACTTAAACACATCATCATTTGACTCGACTTTGATTAATATATTATTCATGAGCTATATAAAAAGTACGAGTATTAAACAATATACTTTGATTTTATGTTAAATTTTAAAAGGGACCCGACTTTGATTAATCTTTTCAATTAGACCAAAAAGATTACACAAAACGAGATCAGGCCAGATTGGGTTCTTAGTCATGCGCTAATTCAGCTAAACTAGATAAAAAATGTTAACATTTCAAAAATTACGCTTATAATTTAATTTTATTGAATAGGTAAAAATTTAGAAATTCTATAAATCCGTACAGTGAATATGTGATAATTAAATAAACTCTAAATGCTTTTTACTTGGATTTTTTTAGTCCAAAACCAGGCCAAACCAGATTAAACCAGAGCAGACCAGACTTAGACAGTTATAAAGTATACAGAAATCAGATAACTGAGATCAAACCAGACCAAATCAGTTCAGGCCATATCAAATCAGACTAGATCAGACCGGATTATAAAATTTCAGTCCAATTAAAAACATCATTTGTCTAATTATTACTTCGTATTAAATTTCATTCATTAATTTAAAAAAATAATGTCAAAACTAAAATCTTGTACGGAATATTTAGGATAAGAATGAAAATGTAAATAAAAAGACTAACTTGTTTGATTAATTATTTTATTATCCCTTCTATTTACTTTCACCACTCCCTGCCATTTCCCACTAAAATACAACCACTGCTCCCACTAATTAGTAATATCCTAAAATTTTGGCGCGCACAACACACTCTTTACCGCACAACCTCCAGAGAAGAGCGAAAAGAGCTATGAATTGAATACGCAGAGCAGGAAGTTACGATAAATTTCAAACGAAGCCGGAATCCCTTGCTCCATCATGCTATCTACTACTGGTCTCAATCTTCCACCATCTGCTAATTAATCATCCAGGTAATGTACGCACACTTATTCTAAAGTTAAATTGAGTTTAGCATAGCCAGCTTTTGATGGAGTTGACCCAGGCACTTGAAATTGAATAGTTGAAATTTTCTTGGGGGAGCCGGCCAGGGATTGGTAATTCCTAGGAGCAGAGCCTCATATGAAACGTATTACTAATTCTCTTTTTTAATTCTAATTCGTAAGTTCCAATTCCAAATCTGTAATTTCCAAATCCGTATTACTAATTCTCTTTTTCAATTCTAATTCGTAAGTTCCCATTCCAAATCTGTAATTTCCAAATCCATATATATGACCCTATTTCGTTATTTTTATTTTGTGGTTTAATGCGTAGTGACCAAGTGAGGACAAAGTAATTGCTTTATTAGTTATTAGCACTTCTTTATAGCATGATATGGCATCTACATAATTACCCTGTTGTTTGTATATTATGGCTAAATTATTAAAAGGAGTAGAGAACCTCGTTATCACATAGGATCAATCCTGAGTACTTCATTATAGCAATATAGCATGATATGACATCTACATAATTGCCTTGTTTGTATATTTAGTGCATTTTTATTCAGTTTGATTGGTTAAATAATTGTATCAAACGAAAATCTGTTTAGTTATATAATTCATCTCTTTGTTAGATAGTATTTAGTTATGTTATGTAGATAGTTGTTTAGAAACTAATCGTTTAGTTTGTGTTCTTTTTACGAATTGATATGCTTGGAAATTAATATGAGTGTTGGGTGTTTCATCCAATCTGTTTAGTAATTAGTAGTGATGCTTTATAACTATTTAATCTTGATAATACGTTGAAGATAATTTTACTAAACAAAAGATGCGGACACGTGGAGGACGTGCTTTGTGTGCACGAGAGAGTCGTGCACCTCAAAGTAGAGGTAGAGATAGGAGTAGCTTATCTTCACCCTCAAGTCCTATGGTTGGAAGTCAATATTCAAGTGGAGAGGGAAGTAGACCTCTTGTCCCAAGTACTCCTACATCACCGCATTCATCAAATGGGGAGCAACCCCAAGAGACGGACGTCACACCATTTCCCTTGCACGAAATGCATTGGTTAGTTTATATGTTTCTATATAGTCATGGTTAATACTTAATAGTATGTTACTTGAACCACTTATTTCTAACATATTATTTTTCTCTGTTTTTTATTATTAAAAAGCCGCAAAACGCATACAGAAATTAAGGCGATCATGAAATCTCGCTTTAGCGGCCCTTGGAGGTCATATCGGAACGTGCCTGAAACGGAGAGAGATCACTGGTTTGATGAATTCAGGGTAACTCAATTAAATTATATCACGTTTAATTTTTTATGAACTTTATGATCTATTTAGTTGTTAGGAGTAATTTAAAGTTGCTATGTATTTGCAGTTGACTCATCCATTTGCGGACTCGGCAAAAAAGAAATTCAGAAAGCTTTTTGACAAATGTGGTAGCCAAGGTCTCAAGAAAATGTTGCAAACAGCACGAGAGGAAAATGTGCCACCAGAATATATCGCTGAGAATGATTTTAAAGATCTTCAGACATATTGGGCCTCTCCGGAGTTCAAAAAGCTTAGCGCTAAGGGAAAAAAAGCTCGATCATCAGAATCATGCAAAAACAACCCATACTGTGGAGGGTCAATCACTACTGCTGATCATAAGAAAAGATTGGTATTTTTTCCCTTACTATTTATAGCTATATACAAACTTAGGATTTATTCATTTACTAATGTTGTTATTTTCCAAAGAGGAAAATACTTGGTAGGAGGATTTTCATGCGAGAGTTGTATGGTGTCACATGGAAGAGGAAAAAAACTCGTGAATGGAGTGGGCCGAGGATACAGGCATGCTATGTAAGATAGTTAAATAGATATTTAGTATTTTATTTTTTGTATATGCATACGAATTTTGCTAATAGTTGGTTTATATGATCTGCTAAATATTTTTTGTGTTAGGAAAAATTTATAGCTGCTAGACAAAAAGCAAGAGATGAGGTCAATGATGAATCACAACCTATAGATGAGGATGAAATTTTTATGGAGTATTTTGGACCTCCCCAATGTGGTAAGATTTTGGGGTTAGGGAGTCTTTCTAGCGAGGTTCAAACCAAATTTCGAGGCGACACATCTACCTCCTCCATACATTGTGAGAATTTAGAGGAACTCATTGATAATCGCATCAAAGTGGCACTTACTACTAGCGTTCGGGAGTGCATAGAAGCCTCGGTGCAAACTGTAGTTCGAGCAGCTATTGAAGAAAATGATAGGACATGGATGGCTCGTTTTGCTGAGTACCGTAACTCTTTGGCCTTGCAAAACTCCGGACTTCCTACTCAAAGTACTCTAGCTCCAAGTACTTCCATATTTCCTTTCCAACAATTCCCGTTCTCACAAATGGCACCACAAGGGCAGTCTTTTCAAAATGGCGCAATGAGTTTTACCGACTGGATGAATTTTGGCTCGTCAATGTTGTCGCCACCGTCTAGAAATTAGTTTTAGATATATTTTTTTCTTT